ATTTATTTAATTATGTTATGTAATTGTTGAGATATGCAATTTTTTGTCACCGCCATTTTTTTCTTAACACACTGTATTAATATAAAAAATTGTTACGCAATCACTTAGATCTTATACATCAGAATTAATGAGAGTGAATATAACAAACAGACCTTGGTTTTTACAAGTATAATCTGTGCTTATTATTAATATTATTTATTAATATATAAAATTGTTACACAATCACTTAGATTTTATATATATAGTATTATGCTTGTTTACTCTTACCAGGACCAGTGTTGAAAATTCGGTGTGGGGAATGTGGGGGTGTAACATTACACACCAATCAACTTTTTAATTTTTGGAGATAGTTTCTAAATTTGTACTGGTTACACAACGAAATTTCAACACTGACCAGGACCCTGGATAATGTTTCCATTTATGAATTATTCGTAATAGCAATAGTAATAGTAACATTGCTATATAATACTAATTAACGAATGAGTCATGTGATGTTATAATCCCGTGACACAAAAGAGTATCATTACTATTTTGGGATTTGAAGATTTGGCAGTGTGGCACAGCATTTGATGTCTTTAGATGACCCGCACCATATGCTCTTGAGGAATTTGTCCACTATGATCATTTCTAAATTTAGGAAAATGTTGCCAAATTTAGACTAGCTCTTGACTATTGTATCTCAATTTGGCAGGAAGAAAACTAAATTCAAGTGAAGTCCTATTTTTTGAAAAATTTTATTACATTTTTGAACAAATTACAAAATTGCTACTTTGAAATTTGGCTGCATGGCACAGCAATAGGAGTTTTTAGGCTGAACCAACCATACAAGTTAAGGGTAGAGTGTAGGTAACACGAAATTTACTATATATGATACAGTCACACCTCGTTATAATGAACATATTGGTTTGGCCTCAATGATCTGTTATAATGAGGTACACAGTGAGTCTCGATTTAACGGATATTTTTTTCCAGAAAATTTATCTGTTAAATCAAGAGATCTGCTAGATCGAAACTTATGATCAAATCATGTGACACAAATTAAATGTGTACAAAAAAAAATTTTATTTTGTATATGGTGCAGGACACCTATATAGTCCCTACAACTTTCTGCGCCACAGTGACTGATTTGGGAAAAAATTCACAATCAAAAATGCAATAAAATTTTTACAGTCACGTGTTTTAAAATAGGTTTGTCACGTTGCATTCTCTTTATTAGTATCACGTGATAGAAGATCCGCAATACAGATTTCAAAATTTTCAATTCTCCCAATTCATTCATTTTTAATATAAAAAATTTGTGTGTAACACGTCACTTTGGGGGATTAACATAGTAAATTTGTTAAAATTGTGCAACTTTAAGGCTTAATTCCTCCACAACAACATGGCATATCAACAAAATGAAAATGTCATTTTGTAGAAAAAGGTCTTAGCTTCAAAATGTCATCTTGTTTTTTTGGTCACACATTTCCATTTTTGGAGGAATTAAAGGATTTGCAAGACTAATAAAAGCTGTAGGGACTAGGTGTCCTGCACTATACAGTCAGGGAATATACCAAATATAGAAATCAATTCTAGATTTTTTGCCGATCATCTCATATATGATGCAGATATTTAGAGGTAAATAATCTTGATTCAGATATTCTCAGCATATAGTGGAAAATCATCAGATATGTGTAATAATTAATTAGCTTATTTTTTCTAAAGTTTGTATGAATTTATTAGATTTATGAAAGTTTTACTAATCCTCCATAGGGTGTCTAGGTGAAGATACAGTAGAACTTTTTCAGCATGCCTTTGTAATCTTTTGAGTAATAATTCAAGCCCAAAAGTTAAGCCATAGTCAACCAGAATGATACTTCATAACATCGCCATTTAACAAGAATCAGAAAATTGTAAAAATTTATTATTTCAAAATATTGTTACAAGATAAAAATAAAATAAGGATAAAATAAAAAAGATAAATAAAAAGGTAATGAATAAATTTATAGTGAGGATTAAATTAGTCATTCATCAATCCTTTCTTCTACTATTGTTACTAGAATCTAATTTCATTAATTAATTAATTAATATTGTTAGTAATAAATTAATTTTCAATTAATTAATAATGAAATTTATCCACCACCTTTTTTAAAGTCAACATTTAGAGAATCAAGATTATTTAACAAATTATCATTACTTGTATAAATTTTTAGATTTAGCAATCTCACCATCTAAAAT